GTATGATGCCACATCAAGAACCATATGATTTCACACATATGTGCGATATAAAACTGAAAGCTACAAATGAACACAACAAGCAAACAAGCAGAAACTCAAAGACACAGACAACAGCCTAGTGGTTACCAGAGGGTAAGGAGGGATGGAGAGAGGTAGAAGAGGGTAAAGGGGGTCAAATCATACATGGTGATAGAAGAATTTTCGACTTTGGGTGGTGAACACATAATGCAATACACAGATGGTGCATTACAGAACTGTACACCTGAATCCCATGTAACCTTATCAACAAATGTCACACCACTAAATTTTTTTAAAAAGTAGTTACTAGGTTTAGGCCATTTTTATCCTTCATATTGACTAATCAATTATGATATCAGGAAGGCACAGAGAAAATACCAATTGATGTTTATCTACACGTGATCCCATGAGAATTCTGCTACTTATTTTTATCAATAAAGAATCAGAAATGACCCTGAATAGGCAAAGTGGTAATGAGAACTCCAGTCTTGATGAGTGGGCATAAGAATCCTCCTTCCAGCACGAAAGGAGGGGTACCCCTCTCCTCCCATCCAGGGTTCAGCCCCCAGTTCTCCCACTGCAGGATGAAAGACATGGTCTATGTGACACCTCCTATCCAACTCCTGTCCAGCAAACGCCATCTTTTCCTGAACACAAGTTCTTCTCCATCTAAGGTCTTGCTACAGCAGACTATGACCTGGCTGCAACAGAACTTTGGGACTCAGGGTCACATAAGCATTACAAACACACACACACACACACACACACACACTCACATACACAATTGTGAGATGCTGAAAGGCTTCCTACATCCTCCCTTCCTGGAAGAGTGTCGGAATCTCCTCTCCTGGCCTCCACCAGCCCGGTCACACAAGAGCAAATGTGGCCTTTTGTGCCCCAGAAGGGGATGAATATGGGGAGGTTCTCGGTCCTTCAGATGAGACCCAGACAGCTCTCCTGGTCCTGGCTGGCCGTGCCTCCCAGGAGCCCAACAACTGGGGTCAGGGATGTGTCTCTGGGCATCACTTGTCAGCAGTCTGATGGGCACTGCTGAGAGAGCCCTAACAGGGTCACTGTGTACTGGTCGGAGGGGAACCAAAAACAATCTCCAATGGAATAGGGCAATGTGGCAGCGCTAGGCCCACAGGCAGATCAGGGTGAGGGCTGGGGAGATTGACAGTCAAAAAACAGCCCAAAGAGGGCCGGCCAGGTGGTGCAATTGGTTAAGAGAGCAACCTCTGAGGAACAATGTCGCCGGTTTAATTCCCACGTGGGCCAGTGAGCTGTGCTCAAGCTGAGCTGCCACTGAGCTGATGAGAGCGTGTGTTCATAACAGCAAGGTAGCTGGTTTGACTCCCTCATGGAATGGTGGGCTGCGCCGACCACCCCCCAACTCCGCAACTAGATTGAATGATACAACTGGACTTGGAGCTAAGCTTGTGTCTTCACAACTAAGATAGGAGGACAAAAACTTGACTTGGGGATGATGGGTCCTGGATAAACACAATGTTCCCCTTCCCCGATTCCCCAAAACTGTTCTCTTCCTCAATTCCCCAATATAATCTTTAAAAAACCCCAAAGATTTTAGGAGCTGTGAGACTACTGCTTGATAACCCACAGAATGTCCAACACTAAGAGTGAACCCTAACGTACATTATGGGTTTGGGTGAGAATGGACGTGTCACTGTAAGTTCATCGATTGTAATAAATGTCCCCTATGGCGAGGGGTGTTGACAGTTGGGAGGCAGTGCATGCGAGGGAGGATGCAGTAGGTATAGGGGACATCTCTCTACCTTCTGCTCAATTTTACTGTACCTAAAACTGCTCTAAAAAATAAAGTCTAGGGCCGGCCGAGTGGCGCGATGGTTAAGAACTCGCTTGGGATGCCAGAGGGCCCCGGTTCGGATCCCACATGTGAGGGCCA